TGTGTGTTTCTCGTCAAATACTCTTCACGCAGTTCTCCACCAATTAAGGTTTGTACTACGTTCTGCTCATTTATGGCTACGTAAAGAGGAAAAAGAGATTGTTTATGATAGGGACGGGCCTACAGGTAAGACACCCTGTTGCAAATTGGACACCGTTCTGCGAATTGATTATCGATTTTCAGGCCGTTGCTACCGTAGTGATATTTGGATTGTTCGTGTTTTTCTTCGTAGAAATATTCGTCTCCCACTCACTTGTATATAAGGTGCTGACGTACATAAGCCAGACGGAAGAGAGCCAAAGAGTCAAAAGTGAGTCATAACGATTTCCTGGAAGTTGACGCTTATCGCTCAATCTGGTCCACATACTGAACAGTTCTAGGAGGGGGAGGTGGGCGAACAAGGGCAAGAAACAGGGGGGAGGTGGGCGAACAAGAGCAAGAAACTTAAGGGTAATTACAGTCTTGTTTGTTGGCTACTCCCTTAAGGAACTAGTGGACAGCAAGCCGGGCGCCAAACCCATCCATCCCTGACACGCCCCATCATCAGCATCGAACAAGATTGCCCGTAGACTTTAATCAGCACCCGACGGGTAGATTCTTTTATGTGCTGGAAAGACCGCAGCAGCAGGGAAAGTATCTTTCCGCCACTTGAATGTAGGTGATCGCATCTAAGCACTTCGGTGTTATTGCGTTTCTTTGGTGACCTCCACGCATACTTCTCCGTCATTGCTTGTGCTGCCCTGTTTGCCTTGGCGCTCACCCGCGCGCTATATGTTTCTTCTCCTCTCTCCCCTTCTGCTGGCCCAAAACAAAAGCACAAAGCGAAGGCTGTAGTCAAAGCGTTTTCAGCGGCCACGGTTTTTGTGCTAGCTAGTTACCACTTTTTGGCACACTTCGGCTCGGTGTGATGAGGTTCTGCGAGCCGTCTTGGTGAATACCTGCGAGTTTTCGTGACCAAAGTCGCTCACCCGAACAACTCTGCACTTCACAGGAGCTTACAAGTTTGACCAAAAATGGGGCCTGTTAGTTAACATGAAC